TGCTTCTCCCTCTGACCCTCCTCCCTCTCATGCTCTCTGTCTCTCATTCTCTCTCTCTCTCAAATAAATAAATAAAATCTTTAAAAAAAAGAAAAAATAATCTCTGTCTTATGGGTATTTTTTAAAGACACAGAAAACGTTCTAAGGACCACATTCCTGTTGTATAAAATGTTTAAAAGAAACTGAGAATTCCAAATATAAAGACAACAGTATCTTTATAAAGTTAAAAAAATCCTGCTGCAGAAAATGATACTCCATTATGAGCAGGGTTCATTTAAAACCACATTCTTGTTTTGTAATTCGATATATTTCTTTTCCTGGTAGGAAGCATTGGTTCACGTCTTAGAAGTTTAAGGCAGTGGTTGTCAACTGGGGGCGATTTTGTCCCCCAGAGAACATTTAGCCATGTCTGAACACATTTTTTTATTATTACAGCAAAGCTAGCAGGTGAAATTCAGGGATGCTACCAAACATCCTACAACGCACATGACAGTCTTCCACAACAAAGAATTATCTGGCCCAAATATCAATAATGCTGAGGTTGAGAAACCCTAGCTTAAAAAAAAAAAAAAATTCCCATTATTTTGAAAAATCAAATGTCTAAAATTACATCACATTACAAATCTAATAACTCAGTAACAAACAGCTAAAATAAAGACAGTCTACCGTATCACAATGTCGATCTAGCATTTTGTGTCTGGGGCAATCCTGCTCTATGTTTTCAGCAATGTTCTGTATTGCTAACATCTGTGCATCAATTTCCTGAAGCTTAGAGGTGAGATGCTCGAGCCGGCGAGCTGCAGAGCTCTGCGCAGGACGAGCAGCAGACACATCCTGCAGCGGCTCCCACAGCGGATCATCCTCTGCAGCAGCTGACTTTGAGCTCTGTTCTTTGAATCGAAAATCTGGCTTCGGCATATCTAAATATTAATAAAGGTAATCAATAACAGAATAGATTAGAATTAAGGGAGAAGTAGATGCTGATGATCTAATTCTTTTGAAGACCTCATTTTAAGTCAACATAACATTCCCTTCTAAATCTGTTTCAATACACCCAGAAATAACACTTCAGTTTCTCAACTTTGGAGAGCTGTCTGTGGTGAGATAAGAATACATAACGGTATTACTATTACCACATAACTCCATATAGAAGGCAGTTTGAATATTACTTTTACCCTCTGCTACAAAAACATACTTCATCAAAAAGCAACTTAATATTTTTTACTTTTTATTTATCTTAAAGATTTGCTTATTTATTTTGGGAGAGAGAGAGAGCTTGGGGAGAGAGGCAGAGGGAGAGACTCTCAACCAGACTCCCCACTGAGGACAGAGCCCAGTGCAGGGCTTGATATCATGACCCTGAGGTCATGACCTGAGCCTAAATCAAGAGTCGGACACTTAACTGACTGAGCCACCCAGGTGCCCCTATTTTTGACTTTTTAAAACTCGAATTGAAAACCAACAGTGTCACACAGTAAAAGCTAGGCCCACTATGGGCCACCACCAACTCTACATGGGATGTCAGGCTAACATTAAACCTCCCAAGACCAATATCAAAGCCAATGATTCTCCCTACTCTTAAACTCAATTGATTCTTGTCCCAAATTTGAAACACTTCTTTTTTAAATGTGTTATTTTTCCGGCTTCTGGGTCTCCTCCTCCCTCTATTGCTCTTCCTTCTTCGTTGTCTTCTTGTTCTTCTCTTCTGCCACCCACCCCTCTGACCCATCAGTACTTCCAGGGTGCCCGTCCCAGCTCACGTCTCACTCTACGCACTCTCCCTGGCTGATATCACTGGTGCACAGGTGACTCTCAAATTCACATGACATCTTCATGTGCTCCAGCCCTTAAATCCACCTATGTCCTGGATATCTCATTTAGGTTGTCCCAAAAGCCTATCAATTGAAACTCCTAGCTCTGCCCCTCCAACTTGCTCCCTCTTCCTGATTCTCCAGTTCAGTGAGTAGCATTATCATTCACCCACGTTCCTAAGCCAGAGGCCTGAGAGTCATTCAAGGTTCTTCTCTTTCCTTCAGATCCAAAGTAACACCAAATATTGATGGTTAGCAACCAAAACCTCCATTCCTACTACCATTGCTTAGCTGAAGCTTTCACAATAGATGGACCCCAAATAGCATCTCTATCTCTAATTTATTTTACCCCTATTTAGTTCACCTTCCACACAGATCCTTTAAAACATAAATGTGATATTGTTCCTTTCCCACCTCAAATTCTTCAGTGTTTCTCTAATTCCTTCATCTTAAAAATCCAAATGCCTCAGTATGAGGACAATGCCATTCAGTCTTTCCTCTGTCTCCCTCTCCAGCTCATCTCTTGCTACGTCTTAAACAAACAAAACCACTCCACTGCCTCCAAGCAAACTTTAATTCTCTCAGCCTCTGCAATCTCCATCAAACCTCCACGTCACTGCACAATCTAGTCTCTCAGTCTCACTAAGTCCTGCTTCCCTTTAAGATTCCACTGAGGTGTCTCTCCTAAATGTCTCCGTCCCCCCTAGAGATGGAGTAGATGCTGTATTTCCCAAGAATCTCATCCAGACCACCTTGACAGCACTTCCCAAGCTGTATCGCAACCTTCTGCTTCTCTGCCTTCCTTTCCTCCTCTAGGTGAGCACCCAGCAGAGAGGCTGGTATTACGCTCTTCTTGAGCCCTGATATCTGGCCCCTGACTTAGTGTTTATTGAACAGCTGGTCAAATGAGGATTATGATGCCTGAACTACCTAACTTACAGAGGTTTTGTGAAGACTAAATTATGCAACAAAATACTCTGAAAAATGTGAATCCCTAAACAAGTGATTCAGCCCCAGGCCAGTGTGAGGCTTCCCATGAGAGGATAATGGCAAACTGCAATGCACGCAATGGCCGCTGTGTCACTTTCCACTACCCATTTCGGCCTTACCTTTTTTTTTTTTAAGTAATCTCTCCACCCAACAGGGGGCTCAAACTCACAGCCCCAAGATTAAGAGTCACATGCTCTACTGACCGAGCCTGTCAGGAACGCCTGGCCTGACCTTCTCCAGCTTGACTCTCAGAGTACTTTACCATCTATCCTTCCTGTTTTCAGCAGCTTAAAGTGTCTCCCTTAGTCACTCTCAGGAAAGAATTTTCTATACAAACTTCGAGTAGAAAACACAGCAAAAGAGCTGGACATGCTCAAAATCCAGAATGGCCTACAGACATAATGAAACTAGCTTCCCTCTCTTTAGAGAATCTGTTCTACTCCCACTGACTAATAGGAAAAATCACCTAGAGGGTTAAATACTGAGCTCCATTGACCCTGAAAAATTCTCTCTGGCCAGCAAAGCTCTGCTTGCTATTAATAGCTGAAAGCATTCCTACTGGAGATAGTTTCTAAAATAGGGAACTACTGTCATTCAAAATGGTGAGCAAGTAGCACTAAAAGTAGGAATTTATCATTTGCTTTGCTTTTGTTTTAAATACCTAGGGACCCTGTCCCTCCTCCCAGCCTTTTCCTATAATACAAATCCATTCAACTCTATTATGTAACTAGGTTCTGAATCTTTAAGGTGTATTATGTAAATACCATGATGGAATATTTTCAAAATATAAAACACATCCTTTTAAATTGGCATTTTAAAGTTGTTCTCTTTAATAAGAGTAGAAGGGTCCACCGATATATTTTTGTAGCCAGTCTCCCCAGAGAAGGATCTTCCAAAAGGCTGAATAGACTTGATCTGACTGATGAAAGAAATTAACCTGTAGCTCGTGGTCATTTGAAATGCTGGCCGAGGATATTCAGGGGTAACAAAGAGATGCGTCTGGTTCCAGTTTGGCAGAATTTCAAAAGTTGACTGGTGTGAAATGAAGGGAAACTAGCCCACAGGCATATTTTTTAAAGATTTATTTATTTATTTTAGAGAGAGAGAGAGAGAGAACAAGAGAGAGAGCATGGGGGGGCAGGGACGGAGGGAGAGGAAGAGAGAGAGAGTCTTAAGCAGACTCTGCGCTGAGTGCAGAGCCCCACGAAGGGCTCAATCCCATGACCCTGAGATCACAACCTGAGCCGAAACCAAGAGTCAGATGCTCAACTGACTGCACCACCCAGAAGCCCCAGGGAGCCCAAAGGCATTGGCTAGATGTAACCCACATGATAACCCAATGAGGTTGTATCCCACAGAGATATAAGTAAGTATCAGATAAATTTAATTTACTTGCAAAAAGTATCCAAACTATGAAGGGATAGAGCTGGGACCAAAAACCAGGTCTGTTCTACTTGAATCTAGAAGTCAAGCTCTTTTGATTTCCCACACACTTCCCCAGCCTAAAAGACTGTTAGTTTCATACATTCTCCCTTCAATACCTATACACCAAACAGCCCCATGACAGGAGAGAGAATGGGCCAAGGCTTCAAAATCTGACATGCTAGCACTTACTGGTATACACAGCTGTAACAGACATGCCCTGACACATCCTAACGTGAGGTTTCCCGGCCACCCATCCCTTTCTTACTCCTCACATCTCCTGAGTGCCCACTGTTGATACACAATTAGCAGGCAGGGCTGGACTGTGCCCCCAAGCATCTAACAACCACAAGGCTGGGTGCACTCCTCCTAGCAGCTGTGGAACCCAGAAGACAGACTGGCTTTCTGCTGCAGGAAGTCTGATGGCATATTAAGATGAATCTAATCAGGGGCGCCTAGGTGGTTAAGTGTCTGCCTTCGGCTCAGGTCATGATCTCCAGATCCTGGGATCGAGCCCCGAGTTGGGCTCCTGGCTCAGCGGGGAGTCTGCTTCTCCCTCTCCCTCTCCCCCTCCTCATGCTCTCTCTGTATCAAATGAATAAATAAAATCTTTTAAAAAAAGATTAATCATGGGCGCCTGGGTGGCTCAGTTGGTTAAGCAACTGCCTTCAGCTCAGGTCATGATCCTGGAGTCCCAGGATCAAGTCCTCCCGCATCGGGCTCCCTGCTCGGCAGGGAGTCTGCTTCTCCCTCTGACCCTCCCCCCCTCATGCTCTCTCTCTCTCATTCTCTCTCTCAAATAA